AGAGGGGTTGCGTGCCGTAGGCATAGTGGAGCTATCAGGAGTCTCCTTCTTTCCTGTTCCCCACGTGTCGCTCTTTGTCCGGTCATGGGAAACGAAGTTACCCATAGCAGCAGCCGAGCTCTTCCGCCTTCGTGATTCAAGGTAGCCACCACCCCCAGTGGACTTGACTGTGGGTGTTGGGCTTGCCTGCTTTTTCGAAGACAAGTTGTTGACAGTAGCGGAAACTGGAATACGAGGAGGTGGCATACTGTCCTGTCTGACGACAGCTGGTTGGTGAGAAGGGGTAGGTGGCTGTTGCCGTTGCTGTTGGCTTTGAGAGTGACCCTTCTCATTGGAATCCGAGGAGCCCGTTGTTCCAGAGGTAGCCGTCTTTGAATGGCCTCGCTTCCAGGATAGACTGAGTTTACGTCTCAAAGATGTCATAGACGAGGGAGTGTCTGGTTCCTCGGCGCTAGGGCCAGGCGTAGGAGACTTGGGCTTCTCAGATTTCGGCGCCCGAGGTCCTGCAGGTTTTTGTTGCGTCCGCTCTTGGGGAATTGGCGCAGTGACATTCAAATCCTCGCCAGTCTTAGATCGCTTTAGGAATGTATGATCAAAGCCTCCCGCTTTGGGCGCAGATGATGAGAGAAAAGGAGAAAGGCTTGGTTTAAAATCGCTTTCTTTGAAAATAAGAGAAGAATCGGGAGAGTTTGCTAGAGGGGGCGGAGTCTCAGCTGCGTGATGCAACATGTGGATCGAGCTGCTGCTTCTAAGGACTGGCAACTCAACAGTATCATCGTATCGGCTTTTAGAGAAAAAGGTGCTCCTGGAAGCCGTCATAGGAGTCGATGGTGTCTTGGGTATTTGACGTGACGGGGGAGGGCTAACATTCCTATTGGCCGTCGTAGGTTCCCGCATTGAAAGCGATTTCCCTACAGGAATATTCAGGGGACCAAGATTAAGGGGTGGCAGACTTAGAGGCTGTAGATTCTTTCTATGACTTGATGAGGTGGAAGACTTGTCGTCATCCTTGGTGGCAGCGGGAAGATAGGAGCTCTTCCTATGGCTCGGCCTGCGTGAGATTTTGGATGGCTCCGGCTGCACGGGCATATGTATACTGCCTTGGCTAGTACTGTGAATGCTAGTAGCATCATTCCCACTCAAAAGCACTTGCCTCTTGTCCATGAAAAGCGAGCTCGCAGGTGAGCCACCGGGGGATTCATAGGCCTTGGGAATTGCGGGGACTGGCGGTACAAATTCCTCGTCTTCGGCGGGCATGGTGTTATGCATGGTGACATGTTTTGGAGCCGGCAAGCGGGAGCTAGAGGAGGATTGGGGGATCCGTGGTTGCGCGGAAGACCCAATAGATGTCCTGACCGTGTTATAACTTAGATTTGATCCGATAGAAAGCCCTGAGCTATACGATTTTCGGTTCATGTTCACGTCGGGGGTTGTCCGAGCAGAGGATGGCGTGCCAGACGCTTTTCGCGGTATCATAGAAGGAGATTTGGAGTCTGGCCGCTCGATTCGATTATCCATAGATACTGGAGGGGGAGGGGGCACACTCGTGGGGACCTGGGAGAGATTCTGCGAAGGAGGCATCGTTGATAAACGTTTCGCTCTACGAGTGTCAGTCGGGCTGATTGTCCTGGCTCCAAGTCCATGTGCATGGTTAGAATGATGTGATCCAGGCATCATCGACGCTCTTCTCGCGGAGGATGAAGGTGTAGACAGCTGCCCACCCGTGCGCGGAGAGCGTGGAGTCAGTGTCGAGGCTCGGTTTGACTCAGGTGCCAAGTTATCCCCAAGGGACATGCCTCCGTGACTCGAGTGCGGTAGAGGCTGCACAGATTTCGCCTTCATTGCCCGGGACATGGAAGGGACAAGGGAAACGCCCGAAGTATCTATGGAGGTCCTGGAAGTGTCGCCTCTGTCGGCAGACAAACTAGGGCGCCTTCGCTGCGCGCTAGCAAAAGTATCGCTTGAGGCATCGCCCAGCACACCAGGACCAATGGATTTACGTGGTTGCTTCGCGGAATTCACACTCGAAACCGGGGGGTGGTGGCTCTGACGGCGTGCAGCAGTGCGCACCGTAGTTGTTGACGTCCTTGGGGGTTCCATGATCCCAGAAGTGGATGACTTGACAGAAGACACACTAGGTTGACGACTGGAAGTGCTCGGTCTGCGGAGGATGGAACCGGATCGACCTGGCCTTGTGCCGGTAGGCACAGCGACACGAGATGCCCCGCTGATGGGCTGGGTGATGTTGGCTTTCTCATGCATGATGTTGTCCCGTGTAGCGGTTTGACGATCGAGTATGCTTCCAGCGCCGGTCGGGGATGGGAACTGCGTGAGAGCGAACTCGGTCGAGGCAGACTCTAGGCTGGTTTGCAGATCATCAAAGCTCACAGAAGGGAGAAAATCGAACGATCCGGTCGAGTCGCTAGCAGTTTGAGTAGACTCCCCATTCCGACTAAATGAAAATAGGGAGTGGTTGTTGGATGATGATGCACTGAGCATTTGGGCGTCGGTGGCCACGCCTCGTCTCGACGATGGCAAAGGGGGTTGGAGTGACGAGTTGGAGGAGGATTTCTCGATTCTTTCGACGGGCGCGATGGTTAGTCTCCCAGCTCCTCCAGAGAAAGGGGGAACGTAGCATGAATTGTTCGCGGTGGGGGCGAGGAAGACAAGTGCACGAGTTCAGAAGCTTACGATCGAGTGGGAGTTTGAGATGCCGGGCGTGGCTCAGCCAGGAATATATGCCCCCTAGTCATGGAGCCAGCAGAATGTGAGGATATTTCGGTTCCAGAAGCTTGGACTGGCGTCCTTTACTAGATCTCGGCGATGGGTGATGCTGTTCACGAATAACGGGAACAGGTCACAGGGAAAGCCTCGCCTCAGTCCTTGTCAGGGAGCTGAGTGCATTCGAACGGCTACCTCATATTCTGGACGCGGACGGGTTCGACGACGAGCGAGTGCAGGCCTGATGAGCTTCGTGAACTCCAGGTGGAATCGTAGGACCGGCTGCGAGAGCGTCGAGGTTGGGTCGCAGATGGAATTGGCCTTGAACTGCTGGACTGCCAGGAGTTGGAACGGAGGCTTGTTTTTCGAAAGGAGGGATCAATGCGCCACTGAACCAGCTGCTGGTCTGTGAGCGGTACCGCTACAGGCAATGTGTGATTTGGACCCAGTGGCTCTCGGTCCCCATTTTGGGGGATGTCGACCAGTAAAACCAGGGGCTGGGGGTCAGATAGATGGCGACTGGAGCCCCAGTACGGCTACCTTCCAGGCGGTCACCCCAACCCCTTAACAAGGTGCAGAGGGACTCAGTGGGGAGGTACAGGGGTGCTTGCACCACAACCTTACAGACAAGCAGCTCCACGACCCAGTATTCACGACGCGGACTCGACAGCTACCTCTACCGCAACTGCAAAAGTAGGGGGATCCATGTACCAGCTGGCCAACCGCTAGACGGAAATGTAAGTACTATCCAGGCCCGTAGCAATCTCAAGAGGATGCCGACACATATCAATAGCACTCCAGCCTGCCACCCCGCCCCAGCTCCAACTGAAATTACTTCGTACATGGCGCATTGAATCCGAGCAAGGCACTGCATCAGTGTTCGTTGGCAGTCCCGGCCTCAGGCCCTTCAATTCAGCTGCAACTCCAAAGAAAGCGATGGGGACGGTTGGTGATCGGAATTGGCCACTAGCGCAAAGGGTCCCGCCGGATGCGGCGTGACAGCCAGTCACCAGACGGATACAGGGCATTGGGATGTAAGCTCAGTGGTTAATGCTGGGCAGCAAAGCCATGCTGGTTTTAGAAACTCTTGAGGGGTATATTCTTGTTTCGTTACGGGTATTGGTGCATTCAACGTGCCGTGCGCGCGGTGGAAGCGGACTGCCTTGGCCAGAAATGCAGCTTTACCGACCGCATCTAGAGACGCGAGTGGAATATCGCGACCACTACTGAGGCAGAGAAAAGGGGAGAACCGAAGACAGCAAAGGCAGGGGTTTGATGCCGGCAATGCCCCATATCACCCAATCAGTTGTGCTCTCCCCGAGGTTCCTACCAGCATCTGTTGTTTTGGCGACGCTGTTGCCCCAGCACGAGTTCAGATTGCCAACAAGGGCTGCTCGCGATTCTCCATACGCATCTTACCGCCCACCGTAGGGCCGGGATGCAGTCCGAAAGAGGAATGCGTGTCCCATCAAACCGACAATTCGCAGTCCCTATTAAGGCGGTCATCGGCAGGAAGGAAACCCCTGGGTGAGTGGTCAGTTATTGGGAGCAATCTTCTCGGCATTGTTTTTTCCTGTTGTTTGTTCTTTGTCGGGGAGATCTGTCTTGGGCAAATGCAAGGGTTTAGTCTCATGTTCCAGCGGGGATGGCTGTAAAGATACCTCACTAGCAGACTCAACCAGCAGCCAGACCGTATAAAGATCCGCACCTGTTTTATGCGTCGGTCCAGCTCTTCCCACCAAAGGTATGCTTTATCAACCAGTAGAAGCGACCATCTACTCATATTCAATGCAAGTTTGCTAGGAGAAAAATATCGAGACGCAGTGTTGATATTAACTAAATTGATATCAACAAAACCATCGACGTTACATGTGCTACAGGGTAAGGCTATGAATCAACCAGCAGGGTTATCAGCAGGCTCAACTATACCTGGACCACTACCTGGATTTGAATCCAAGGGATTTGATTTGGCCGTCTATCAAAATTAACCACCATGACCTGGCACCTTGGTTTCAAACTCGTCCAGCTACAGCCTTGAGTCCAAGAATCATGTTGCACAGCTGTTTGGCCATTAGTGCACGAGACCCCAGCTTTTAGCGCCCACACACACGGCAATGGCAGGGTGGGAGCTTGTACCCGTGCCGATTCAGTAGTGTTACCCTTAGCGGAAGGAGTTTCACATGCTTTCTGACAGCCAGCCCGCCCGTCCTTCGTCCCGACGTCAAACAGCCATGACGTGAACGGCGCCATCGGAGTGCATCTACTCCATCGACTTCGCCATGGACGACTTCACCACCGAGCTCCTGGCAGCCTCCCAGGACAACACTAGGAGCGATTCCGAACCTGACACCGAGTCGAAGCCCGAGTCGAAGCCCACCCCAAAGCCCGACGATGGCCCATCGTTGATGCCGTCGCCTCTGACCGGATTGCGGGGCGGCCTTGCAACCATCCGGGAGAAGGCCAGCATCCAGGACCGCTTGGTAGAGAAGTAGGTTCCATCAGATCACATAGCGAAATATGACACCGGTCTAACTAGCCAACCCAACAGACTCCTCCAGCAAGTCATCCCGGCCGACCAAGATGCTGGCGCCGACGGCACCGATGATGCGGCGCCCGCCTACGCGGAGCGACCCAACTTCAACATCACCACAATGTCCAACAACTTCCGCCGCTTCAACGCCCGCATAGGCGTCGTCTTCAAGTTCCAGGTCCGCGTCGGGCACCTGCTGTCCTGGCAGATCCCCTCCCGGACCATGTCGCTGCTCGCCGTCTACACCTTCGTCTGCCTGGACCCGTACCTCATCACCGTCCTGCCCATCATCGTCCTCCTGCTCGGCGTCTTCATCCCCGGCTTCCTCGCCCGGCACCCGGCCCCTCCCAAGGGGACGCTCTCCAGCGAGCAGAACGTGGGGTACTCGCCGAGGGGTCCGCCGCTCGCCCCCGCGGCCACGGTGCGGCCCGTCAAGGAGCTCAGCAAGGACTTCTTCCGCAACATGCGCGACCTGCAGAACTGCATGGAGGACTTCAGCCAGGTCCACGACCAGGTCGTCGCCCTGCTGCTCCCCGTGACCAACTTCAGCAACGAGGCCCTCTCGTCGGCCGTCTTCACGTTCCTCACCGTGGGCGGCGTCTTCATGACCGTCTCCGCCCACCTCATGCCCTGGCGGCTCGTCTTCCTCGTCATCGGCTGGGCCGTCGTCTGCATGGGCCACCCGGCCGTGACCCGGCTCGTCGCGAGCTCGCACCAGGAGTACGTGCAGCCCCGCGAGAAGGAGGCCAGGTCCTGGCTGGACAACTGGGTCGCCACGGACGTCATCCTCGACGAGGCCCCGGAGACCCGGGAGGTGGAGGTCTTCGAGCTGCAGCAGGTCTCCGACGCTGGTGAGTGGCACCCCTGGCTCTTCACCTCCTCGCCCTACGACCCCCTCTCCCAGGCCCGCATCAACGGCGACCGGCCCCGGGGCACCCGCTTCTTCGAAGATGTCCTCGCGCCCGAGGGGTGGGAGTGGAGCGAGAAGAAGTGGGCGCTGGATCTCTGGAGCCGAGAATGGGTGGAGGAGCGGATCATCACGGGGGTAGAGGTCGAGACGGAAGGCGAGAGATGGGTCTATGACATGTACGATGAAAGAGAGGAGCAAGTCGGCGTCGTCGAAGCCCCGAAATCGGGATCGATGAGAGGTTTCCCCCAGACGAGCTGGGAGGAAGGTGAGGACGGGGGAGGGCGGAGAGGAAAATGGAGGCGGAGAAGATGGGTTCGACTCGTGAAGAGAAAAGCAGAGCCAGAGACGCCCGTTTAAAAAGAGCTAGTTATTAGTATAAGCGTTGTTTTTCACATATCTTATGTACGATCACCAGGAAATTTCATGTAACACAGTGTACACCCAGTCGGGACACTTATTGTCTGATATAGGAAGAGTCACTGGGAGAGAGAAGTGAAATGAAATTAAAAATGTAAGGTCATATTTGCATCGCTGTCATATGAACTAATGAAAATGTCCGGCTTTGAATACCACCTGGTATCTGCATATCCTCGTACCGCTCCAGCGTAAAGACAAAATTAATAGGCCAAGAAGAAGATTAGTAATAAGAAGAAGAAAAAGAAAAAGAAACGCTTTCCCCAATCAACAAGGCTTATGAGGAGGTCGGATTAGGAACGGCCATCTTGGCCAATATCTTTCGGACTCCATGCAGCTTCTCACGCCCGTCATCAATAGCCACTGCAGTCTTTTCCGCTCGCTCGAGCAGAATAGCCAGGACATCGCGCGTGTACTGGAAGCTCCCAGTGCTCTCCATGTAGGTCACGGCGTACTTCTTGATGTCTATGTTGGTAGTTTTCTGCTTAAGAATGTTGACGAGTTGGCGGTTTACTGGGTTGGTTCGGATACTGTGGATGATTGGGAAGGAAAATTTACCCTCTGTCAAGTCTTCGCACATACCCTTGTTGTCACTGTACTCCTGTGAATGCAAGTTCATGTAGTCGTCGCGAATTTGGAAGATGAGTCCGACCAGGTTCGCAAGCGGGACGCAGTCCATGTCCACGTCGGATTCGGCCTGCATAAGCTTGATGCCCAGACGGAATAGACCACCAGTCTTGTTCCCAACCATCTCGAGGTAGTCATCCTCTGTAGGGCAGGTAAGGGTGTCGCGCCAGTAGAGATCCATGCCTTGGCCGCGGTGCAGATTCACCAGCTCCTCGGCAAAGATATCGACGGCTTTGGGGTTGCCCAGCTTCTGTAGTTCCACAAGTGCCGAGAAGTAGATGTAGTTTGCCGAGTTGATGGTCTGTGCCACGCCGAAGATGTTGTGGGCTACGGGAAACCCGCGGCGCAGCTCCGACATATCTTGCACATCATCTACCAAAAGCGAGGACTCGTGCAGCATGCCAACGACTTTGGTGATGATATCCAGGCTCTTTTGTGGCACCTGGAGCCAGATGTTGAAGGCGCCGATAAGCTGGGCTCGGAAGTCCTTGCCAGGATGACTGATCACATAGTCATACGGCGCACGCACAACAGCCTCTTTCTCTGCAGTCCATGAACGCGCAGGACCGAAGTCTAGGTCCTCATTGCGGTACCTGTTTGGGTCCGGAGGGGGAGGGGGGGCATAGGGGGCAGTGGCCACCAATGATGAGAGATGCTGCTTCTCAAGTATGTTGGTATTGGGGGTTGATGAGAGAGGCAGGTTCTCAAGCATATTGGAGGATGGGGCCTGCGAGCGTCCCGGGTCCAGGCTAGAGCTGGGTGGTGGGTGCTGAATGCTGGGAGTTGCTTCTTGCTGATGAGTGTTGGGGGAAGTGGGCTGTTGCTTTTGGCCCAGCCAGTTGGCCTCATCCACAGCTTTAAGTAGTTGGCGAGGAGTGGAAAGACTATTCGAATGAGAGTGCCCCGTGCTTGATCTTCGGGGCGGGATAGCACTTGGGGAAGCGAATGCCATTATTAGAAATCAAACAGCAAGCAAACAGAGTGGATATCTTATGTGAAAGATGTGCGTCGTACTACTCAGGCTACAGCCAACAGCCGTAGCGTGGGTAAAATCTTGCGATGTATGATGGGGCGGGACCTTCTCTTAGACCGGGCCTGAGTGAGGATGGCTTTGGACCAGGATCGAGAACAGAGCTCGTAGCAAGGAGGGGTCTAGAGGATATATTTCGGGGAGTAGAGCGCTTGCGGCGATATATGCGCTGGGAGCACTGATAAATACTGGAATAAATGAAAGTATACCGAAGTCCTCCAGGCACGATGCGAAGCTGGGCGGCCGTGACGATGGTGAGGTGGTTCCCGATGGCTGGAGAGACCAGGTCGAGGGTTGAATGACGAGTAGATGCGGCACAGGCTGGGGCGCCCCACAGAGCTACCGCGTTAGGTGGCAGTTTTGGACCCTTGGCCCTCTGCCGATGCCACTGTCAGCCCCCAAGGCAGTAAAGTTCTGCTGGTGCCTGCAGATTCCATGACGCCTGCAGATGCCCTCACGGCTGCTCGGATGCACGAGAACCCCGTCGATAGTATTAGACACATGAATATCTGGCTCTCGACACGTGTACTTGCTATCTAACCTCTTATCCAGGGCGGCCGCTGCGTCAATTCTCCGATCTGGCGGTTCACTAATCTTGGTCTTTTGTGTGCTATAGATAGATAGCACTTCCCGTATTGAACTAACCAACCCAATCTAGAGGTGTAGCATGCCGTCTGCCGAGGCCAGAGCCTGTTTAGTCCTACCTTGCCGGCCTTGCCCAAGTCCTATGCCTGCCTTGGATAGGTCTCAAGGCCTGTGTTGTTCGCATGGCATTCAGCTCTTGTTCTAGCATGTTCCTACCCGATTGGCATGTCCTTGGGGACTAGGCATGCGGAACTACCATCTAGCGTGGACACCTTTAGACTTTGATGACAGCCTCTTAGCTTACATAGCACGACGAACCAAGTCATCTGGAATTACCCGCGTGGAGATGCTGGCGCGTGGGTGTCTTTTACTGTAATGTGTCCCGTGCCAAGGGAACAGTTGTGTGTCTACGACAAATACCAATGGCCTGGGTTGGGCTGAGTCCGAGCCCTCTCCGAGCGGAGGCAAGGGATCCTATCCGGACAGAAGAATCGTCCAGTGGCCCAGCATTGGGCGATGGTACAGAAAATGGGCTCCTGGGTGCCCAACAAATGAGTGTTGGCCAAGCATGGAGCTCAATTAGAATAAAACCGGTCTGATATAGGCATGCATAATACTACCATGGATAAATCCGAAATCCGATTTATGCAGTGGGTTCCTTAAAGTGGTTGCAGCGAGTCAGAACCCACAATCCTTGTCTGTGCTCTGGTTGCTGCGGCGATGGCGCCGAAACACCAACCATCAATATATACAAACCGCACATGCGCATCAAGCTTGTGTGCCTCTTCTTTTTTGTGTTCAGCCCAGGCCCAACCACCAGATACCCAATGCGTTTCCTCTTCGTCCACCTGTATTAACATTTTTCGCGCCCCCCGCGCAGCCTTCAACGGCATCCAACTTTTTGTGCTTTTCTTCCCCGCTGCGTGCTCGTTCTCGTCTCGCTCTCAACAGGTCTCTGATTTCGACGAGATATTAACAACGGACCCAAATTCTTTCCGCATCTCGCAAGAGACTTAAAAAATTCACCACAATGGAAGCCCTTCTCTCCCTTGCATTTGACAATCTCTCCTCCTACGACGGCGTCAAGGTCCGCAAGGGCCTGCGCCAAGTAGAAGGCCTCCTGGCGCAGATCTGCCTTTCTGGCCCTCAGCCTCAGCGCAGTGCCCGCAGCCGCTCACGTAGTACTGGATCGGACGGTAGTAATGAGGAAGGAAATGACGAGGGCGACGGCGCAACGGCCTCGAGAAAGGATCTTGCAGAGCTCTCGCGAGACCCTGCTTTCCGCGAGTTCTTCAAACTCCAGGAAGGGTTCGAGTGGAACGTTGCCATGCGCCTGATTGGCACTTTGGATCGTTTGATGGCCAAGGGGGGAGACGGGCAGAATGATCTGCTCATCCTGAGTGCTCTTGACTTGATCCAGGGCGTGTTGCTTCTGCACCCCCCTAGCAAGTCTCTGTTCTCCCGCGAACAGAATATGAATGTGAGTAACATCCCGCGAAACATGTCTTATTCACGTGGCTTTTGCCCTGATAAGCCTTTGCAATGTACATACATGTATTGACAGTTGCTTCCCCTCCCCCCACAGCTTCTTCTTGACCTCCTCGAGCCGTACAACTGCCCCGCGATCCAGTCCGCGACCCTCCTCACCCTCGTCGTCGCCCTCATCGACACCCCGAGCAACACCCGCACCTTCGAGTCCCTCGACGGCCTCCTCACCGTCACCTCCCTCTTCAAGTCGCGCTCCACCGCCCGCGAGGTCAAGCTCAAGCTCGTCGAGTTCCTCTACTTCTACCTCATGCCCGAGATGCCCTCGATCCCGCGGGCCGACCAGCGCGATTCTGTGCCCGCCATGCTCCAGCGCAGCCCTAGTAAGCTCGCCGGCGCCTTCTCGGCCGCGGACCTCTCCCGCAAGCAGCCCGACGGCGACCACGAGTGGATGCTCACCACCGAGGAGAAGCAGGAGCTCCTGAGCCGCCACCTCAGCAGCGTCGAGGACCTCGTCAGGGACCTGAGGGAGTGTGCGCCCTTTGGCGGCGTCATCAGTTGAACAAGAAACACACACAAACTGCGTGCTGGACATCGCCCTGAGTGAAAAAAACCACTTCTTCGCCGCCTTCACATCGGCCCCTCTTTTGATTTTGCGTCCTCTCTTTGATATTCCTCTCTCCTTGCTACTACTTCATTATTCGTCTTTGGCTTTCACAGGGTATATGGCATATGGGAAACTCGGCGTTTACAGGATTCACTTTGGTATTCTTTCTTTGGTCTCGCGCAAAACGGAATATATTGCGCCTAATGAACTCTAACAAGATTTGCTTTTCACTTGCCTTTAGCACCTTTTCAAACAGGCGGGGAAACGGGCTCGCATGCTGCTCTTTTCTTTTCTTTTTTTTTTTTTTCCTTTCTTTGGTTTGATTTTATTAAGGAGCCTACTACGGCTAGACTATGGCGTTTGTATGTTCGATCCCGGAAGTTTAAAAATGAATTTGAGAAAGAGTACAATCAAAGATTATATAAAAAAAAAGCCAACCATGCCCAAAACCGTGCGTTCATGTTTTCCATCATTTTTCAGGGGGCGGCTGCTCAAAGTAGCTGTTCCTCATCTCCACGGGCGTGGGCACGATGGACGGCGGCCCCTCGGGGGGCATGTGCTCCGACCCGTACAGCTCGAAGCGGCCCTGGATAGACTCGAGCTTGATGCCGCCGCCGCCGCCCGCCACGCTGTCGTGGGTGGTGGTCGATCGCCCGTCGTCGAC